AGTGTTCAAGTGTGAACTGACTGCTGGGAGTAAGGATGTGTCTGTCAGTGCTGCCCACTGAACCGCTGTTTCTAGAGAAGAGGGTCCTGTCTGGTTGTATGAGGCCAAAAGTGTCCCTCTGTGTGTGTCTCCTGCTGCAGGAATCCCATCAATGGGGCTGCCGTTCCCACTCTTGGCGTTGCTGTGGCTGTGCTGCTCTATTCAGATCCGATGGGTGGGTCGGGGGTGCTGGATGGCTCTGTCAGAAAGGCAAGGTGGGGGTGCCTATCCTTAGGATTACACTGTGGGTCAGGAGCATTTTGTGGTTTTGCTGCTGCAAGATGGAAGAGAGTGTGTGCTTTTTAAATCCAAGGACAGCCAAAAGCTAGGAGAGATCCCAAGCAGGTTTGGTGGCACAACAGTAGTTTTAAAAAATCCTCTTAGAGAAATGGCCAGGGAAAATGGTTCCTTGTTTACAAGGAGAGGGGGCTTGCTGTACTAACTAACCAGAATACTCACCTTGGGATGTGCAGGGTGAGGAATTCTTGGTTCTGTGTAGGCTTGAGAAAACCTGCATGTGGCATCTGCACAGATGTAGGAAAGGAGATCTGTGACTTTCAAGCTGCCAGGGAGTCAAAATATTCTGCAATTGTCTGAAAAAGGCAAAAGCTCTGTCGATCTCTATCGACACCTGTACCAATGGAGATGCAAAATACTTTTCCTCCTCTCAGCTGAAGACCTCACAAGCCTCAGCAGAGGTTTGAGAATGACAGCATTTTGCAGAAGAGATAAAGATAATCAGGGTTGTTTTTTTTTGTGGTAAAATCTAGGTAACCTAGGGATGGAATGAATATTTTGGGCCTAAAATCAGAGGTAAACTATAGGGGACAGAGTGTATATTTTTGGAATGTAATAGCTCAGATAGTTGTTGGGGGTAACCTGGATGAGGAAGAGGAGTGTAGAAGGTGGAAGGAAGCAATGTCTGGCAACATAGGCCAGACAGCATCAGACAGACAGACTGTCTGTTGGATTGTGAGCTCTCTCTCTTGCTAGGGGAGAGCAGGTTCCTCTGATTGGCCTCCAGTTAGAGGCAGTTAGTTTTCCCAATTAAGAACTTAGTAGTTATCTAAAGATGCAAGTATCCCCCCCCTCTTATGTATATCAATCTTAAATCCTATCCAATGCCCTGTCCAATTTTATATATACCTATCCCCTTTTTCCAGAACCTTCCTTATCTGCCTATAAAAACCCTCCATTTTGTAAAATAAAGTTAGATCAGCCTTAGCACCCACAGCTGGTGTCTCTGTGTGATTTGACCCCTGAGCTCAGCCGATACACCACTGGGCACAATGAGAGAAACTGCAGCTCAGCTGTGAACCCGCTGGTCTGAGGTGATCCAGAAACCCCAAACCATGATAGATAGTCTTTTCCATAGGAAGGAAAGCATGTGGCCCCGTGATTGAATGCGTAGATAACAGGCTGCCCAGGGGAGGTAAAGGACAGCAAGACTTTTCTCTCCTGACCCTTTCTGTACAAATGGGTGAAAGAGGCCTTCGGCACAAGTGTGGAGAAGAGCCAGGTGAACACTAGTGAGCAAGATGAGCGTGGACTCCTTGACAGAAGTAGATGTTACTTTTCTGGTGAGCTACAAACATGCCTAGTATTTTGCAACAAGGTTGGGTGGTCTCAGGCTGGCCTCGTGAGTAATCCCAAAGTATTACAGGGCTCAGCAATGGAGCATGTGCCTTTTCTATTTGCAGATGCTGCTCAGGTCACCTTTGGAAAGAGAGGAGAATTTGAGGTGAGTCAGGGCGGTGGCAGGAGGAGCAGGGGTGCACTGAGCTTTCCAAAATGCCACGTAACTTTGTCCGTCACTCACCCAGGTATCCCGTGCGATGCCACCTGCAGCCTCTGTCATCGGCAGAGGTCGCAGGACTCCGTCTGGAGCCAGTGAGCCGAGGGCCGCGGTGCAGCTGGGAAGGTGTGAGTATGGGAATTGTTGGGGTTTGGCTGAGCTGCTGCAAAGCATGTTTGTAGCGTTACGTGTCAGGTGTGCATGTGCTTGACCTGAAGCTGCTCTGCTCTGATGTTAGACAAGGGGGCGGGGGTTTGCAGGTGTGTGATATCATAAAATTGCAGGTAATCCAGCCTTAGAGGCTGAGGGTAAGCCATTTCTTCCCTAAGAGGAAAGGGGTTTTGTTTCCCGTGCTGAAATTGCCCGTCTGACTGCCAAAACTGAATACAAACAAAGATTCCTCCAAGGCAAAGGTTCCATCACAGAAAGCTGCTGCTGTCCATGGAGTATCCAGGCGGACCTACAACCCGGACTACTGACCCCGTGGGTAAGCACCTTCTTTCCTGGGAGAATTGGCTGTCGCCCACTTGTAGGAATCCTGCACCAAAATTGCCAGTCTGACCCCAAAATTGAATCTGGACGAAGATTCCTCCAAAACAAGAGGTGCAAGGACAGAAAGCTCCTGCTGCCCAGGGAATGTCCAGGCTGGGCCACCAACTGTACCAGAGACGCCGAGGGTAAACACTTTCTTTCCTAGGAGAAAAGACTATCATTCACTTGCCAGGATCATGCACTGAAACTGCAAGTATGACTGCCAAAATGGAGTTTGGACAAAGATTCCTCTAAGACAGAAGGTGACTGGACAGAAAGCTCTTGCTGCCCATAGAATGCCAAGGGCAGCCTACAACTAGGACCCTTGACCCTGGGGATAAGCACTATCTTTCCCAGGAGAAAAGGCTGTTGTTCGCTTGCAGGAATCCTACGCTGAAATTACCAGTCAGTCTTCAAAATTGAATACTGTCCCAGGTTGGACTTGGCTCCCAGCCAAGTCCCTGGACTCCGGGGACGAAACCTTCCCCCTCCCTTTCACTTTCTCCCAGCCGACCGGAAAAAAAACCCAAAAGAACCCAAACCGAATAAATTTTAAATGAAAGATTTATATATATATATATATATATAAATAAAACTATATACACACTCCCAACCAAAGGGAACTCCCCAAAAGGGAAAAGGGAAGGGAAAGGGAAAAGGGAAAAAAAAGGACAAAAAGGGATACAAAAGGGACAAAAAGGGACAAAAAGTTAAATACTCCCCTGGAGAGGAAGCAAGCCACCCCACAGAGCTACCACAGCACTGTCCGCCCCTCAAGGCCAAGCAGACACGCCAGGCCTCACTCCCTCAGGCGGGCAGAGCGACAGTAGAGTTACCTCCAGCTTGGGTCCGCCAGAAGAAAGAGAGCGAGAGCTTCCTCTCTCTCCTTCTTTCTACTCTTGCTTGCGTAAAATGGTATGGAATAGTGGGAACATGAGCTTGGTTCCTTGGTTCCAACCTGATCAGCAAGGAAGGCCTATATTCAAAAGCGCTACAAATCCAGACAAAGATTCCTCCAGGAAAGAAGGTGGCTGGACAGAAAGCTCCTGCTGCCAATGGAGTGTGGAGGCCGGCCTACCCGTGAAAAAGAGAGACCAGGTCTGCCCGTCAAAAAAACTGACACGAGGTCTACCCGTGAAAAACTGACACCAGGTCTACCCGTCAGAAAGAGACACCAGGTCTACCTGTGAAAAACTGACAACAGGTCTACCTGTCAGAGAGACCAGGTCTATCCATTAAAGAAATAAGAGTTCTTCTTGTCAAAAGAAAGAGGCCAGGTCTATCCGCCTAAAAGGATACCTCAGGAGGCTGGTAATGGGTCCCTCAATCTGGTTCCAATGAGTTTGAGTCTTCCCAAGTGTCTGAAAAGTTTTGCTTGTCTTTGGCTTTCTAAATAGCAAAGTGAAGTGATTGTCAAGGTTGTGGCCCTTGGTGTGGTGTGTCTTTGAAGTGTAGAGTCAGTGCCTTCCTTGGAGCTGCCGTTGGATGAAGAGGTGCTTGTGATTTGCCTTGAAGGTGCTGGTTTGTTCCCTTCTTGTGCCAGGTTGTCCAGGAGATGGAAGTGGAGTGGTCCAGTAGAGATGGCTTGTGTTGGTCCTAAAAGGAGCATTTGTGCCTTGAGGCCAGGTTGTGGGGTGAGTGGAGGTGTTGGGAGAAAGGGAGGCCAGGCAGTGGCAGGCCTGGAATGCTGCTTCTGTGGCAAAGACAGCGAGTTGCATTTCCCGAGAGTTGCCAGCAGACGGCAGCACTGAGCACAAAGAGACCAGGTCTACCTGTGAAAAAAGTGACCCCAGGTCTACCCGTCAGAAAGAGAGACCAGGTCTACCCGTGAAAAGGAGAGACCAGGTCTACCCGTCAAAAAACGACACCAGGTCTACCCGTGAAAAAGAGAGACCAGGTCTACCTGTCCAAAAATGACAACAGGTCTTCTCGCCTAAAAGAGAAACTCAGGAGGCTGGGAATGAGTCCCACAAACTGGTTACAATGGGATTGAGTCTTCTCAAGTGTCTGAAAAGCTTTGCTTTAACTTGGCTTTTTAAATTGAAAACTGAAGTGATTGTCAAGGTGGTGGCCCTTGCTGTCCTGTGTCTTTGAAGTGTTGACTCAGTCCCTTTCTTGGAGCTGCTGTTGAATGAACAGGTACTCCTAATTTGCCTTTAAGATCCTGGTTTGTTCCCTTCTTCTGCCAGCTTGTCCAGGAGATGGAATTCCAGTGCTACAGTAGAGATGGCTTGTGGTGCTCCTGAAAGGAGCCTTTGTGCCTTCAGGACAAGTTCTGGTGCCACTGGAGCTGTTGGGAGAAGCGGAGAGTTGACAGTGCCAGGCCTGGAATGCTGCTGCTCTGGCACAGACGCTGCTCCCTGGCAGGTTCTTGGGTTGGATTCCTTGGCTGCCACTCTGCAAGGCCTGGAAGGGCCTCACTTGTGGAGGGAACAAAACATGGAATGGGAAAGCAAAGCAGGGGAGGTTCTGGTCTCAGAGAGAATCATTAAATTTTCTCTTTCTGCAGGGACATTGAACCGGTCCAACTGTGGCAAGAAGAACAAGCGGGCTGTGAAGGTTTGAAGCACTCTGGAAGGTTCCTGGTGCCCAAAGGATCCTGGCAAGTGTAGCACTGGAAGAGTACAAAATAATGAAAAGTGCCTCAGTTCTCCTGAAGCTCAACTTTGTAAAATATTCATGAAGATAAAATTCTACTGTAATGAGCTGTTGGGTCCCAAACACTGTTGGAGGGAGCGGCAGAAACTCCCACTGCTGCTGGGGCTGAACTGCTTGCAGTGACCAGGTAGGACTTGGCCCTGATGCCTGAGTGCTCTCCAGTCCCCCAGGATGCATCCCAACTTGAGGAGTGGATGTTCCTGCAAGCCCAGCTGCTGTGTTGGTGTGTGCCCCTCTTGCCCTGGTCTGCTGTGAATGTATTTGTGTTGCAGCTCAATAATGTCCCAATAAAGTGGTGATTGTGTGATTTTGGTGTCAGTTCCTCTCCGTTCCTCTCCCCTCTTCCCCTTGCCCAGTGGCTGCATCACTGACTTGTGCTTAAATAAACTCTTGCCCTGCAGCAGTTCTCTGCTGCTCTCAGAGAGGGTGGAGCTGAGGCCCCTGAGCAAAGGGCAAAAGGATCCATCCAAGCCAGGCCCCTGCTCCCCCCCTGCATTTCTGCAGCATCCCGTGTTGGCAGTTGCCATCACTGCTGGACATACAGCCCATTTCTGAACAAACCCCTTTCCTGTTCTCGCTCCATGCCTCCCCTCCCAACTCCCCTCCTCTGATGCTCCAGGTGTCAAGGCCCCTGTTTTTGAGGGGCATTCCTGTTCTGCTGTCCCCCCCATTCTTTCGAAAGCAAGAGCCAGGAGTCCCAAGTGCAGAGAGGGCTGCTCCTCTTCTCCAGATTAAACAACCCCAGCCCAAAATGCCACGTAACTTTGTCCGTCACTCACCCAGGTATCCCGTGCGATGCCAGCCGCAGCCTCCGTCATCGGCAGAGGTGGCAGGACTCCGTCTGGAGCCAGCGAGCCAAGGGCCTCGGTGCAGCTGGGAGAGTGTGAGTATGGGAATTGTTGGGGTTTGGCTGAGCTGCTGCAAAGCTCCTGAAGTGGTTGTGGTTTTGTTTCTTGTAGCGGACAAGAAGAATAAGCCCGCGTCTGCAGGAACCTCTGAGGTGGCCAAGACGACCTTCCTTTGTGTTGAAGAAGGATTCGCACCCCCAGCTGTCATAAAGATAAGTGGAGGGCTGTGACCCAGAGAGGGGAGGAGAGCAAGGTACTGGGTTGGGAATTTCTGGGATAGATTTAGAAATTAGCATAAGGAGAGAGGGACATCCAGTAACAGGCCCTTAGTGCACAAAGAGGGAGTGGTTTACTTTGGAGCACAACACTGGGCCGTGCAGGGAAGAGCAGTTCCACTCTGCGTCGCACAGTTTGTCTTCTGTCTTGCGGGTTCCTCGGATCAACCGTCTTGGCGTTCTGCCCTGAAGGGGCTTAAGGGATGCTTGGGGCGTCATCCCCAGGGTCTCCAACGTCTCCTCGGCACGGTGCCAATATTGTCTGTTCCCTGACTTGCAATCTCGCATCAGAATCGCATCTTGGAATTTTACAGTCAGGTGTCCTCTCTGGCCATGTTTCAGGCTGTGTCATCAGCC